CGTACAATATTTCTGTCTCAAAATAAAAATAAACAGACAAAAAATAAAAAAAGAAAAACAATTCCTTATCTGAGTGGGAAATAAATCTGACAATAAAGAAACACCAGGGAGCAACTCAATTGCACATATATTGATGGTGCTGCAAAATTAATCTTATTTGGAATCCATTCGACGTACAAGTATCAACAGATATTACAGTAACATTAAAAGAACAAAAAAGTGAAACAAACAGTGCGTGAGTAGCAATTATTAGTGAAAATAAAAATATTATACGGAGATAAATAGAAGAATAATTAGAATAAATCAATATCTTCAAGTTTCACGATTTTTATGACTTGATCAGAATTATTAAGCTTCCCAAATACGTTGCCATGATCTGTCCATACCTTCCCAGAGTTAGATATTTTCAGTAGCACTGCTTTCAAAATTTTTACTTTACCAGGCGTTAGATCTTCTCTGATGACAACTTTTGTTTCCTTCAAAAGCTTTTTATTATAATAAACCATATCCCTGTAGTATCTAGTAGAAAACTTAACTAACATCGGCCTAGTCCTGTTGTTCACTTTCCTGCCAATTCTATAACAGGACTCAATATTTTCTTGTTTTATATGAAGATTCATTTTTTCAGCGAGTATATCACTTATACATTTATTACAATTTTCGCCATCGTTTTCCTTTACTCCATGAACAATAATATTTCGACATCTGATAGCTTCATCTCGTTTCTCATTTTCTTTCAATAGATTTTCTATAATCTTGTTTTGTTCTTCAACCTTTTTCATTATACTTTTGTTTTCATCCTTCAACTTCCTAATGTCATCTTTGAAATTCTTACTTACATTTTCTGTTATAGTTTTTGATAATGCATTAATGAATTCATCTGATGTACACAACGTCGTGACTATGGACTTAATTAATGTGTGCAGTTCGTCCTCACTTTTGTTCGAATTCTTTCGGCTTCTCGATTCCATTATATGTAATATAGGTATATCAAAGAACAAGGCACGAAACACGAGAAACTTCTAGTTTGGCACTTGAAAAAAATGTATTCAGAAGATTCTGCTGAGTGTCTATTTGTTACACTGCAAAAATTGATTCTTCACTTGTACGACTTCAACGAGTTTTATTGCTTTAAATGCAGCACATCAAGCGCACGTCTTACTCGGTAATTATACATCATCTGGTTGCTCAACTTTCTGGGTACCATTCCTCAATTTTGATTTGAAAGTTGCAGTGTCGCCCCTCTTTTATTCGACCTTATGATTGCTATCTAACTAAATAATTGTTGTGTTAATTCATTTTGATAACTCGAACCAATAGTGCCTACTGGCGATAAGCTTCCGTTTGCAAATGCTCCTATTTTCCATGGAAGTAGGGCTGCAATATTGAATAAAACTGTTGAGAATTATATGAAGATTTCGAGAATTGAATGATATAAAGGGCGTTCTATTTGGAAAATCAATTCAAGATGAAGCTCAGCCGCCATTGTGAATCTTTGAGCTGTCATTCTTCCATAAAAAAGTAGGTTTTCATATCCTATTCGAGTTTCCAGAATTTTGATTCAATATACCAGGTGGTTCACAAATTAAAAGGTGGGAAACGGACTAGAGGCGCATTGTAGGTACCTGTTAATCAACTCTTTAATGATTTCATCCCGATTTGAGAAAGCAGTTTCCAGAACTTTCAAATTTTATCAGGGCCTGACTGACAACCACTGTCCCTACGTTTACTTGTCTTCAGAGATAATATCGTACATGAACGGTGTCAGCTCCCTTGATCACCGCTGCAATAAGAGCGCTTATACCGTCCAACTGCGACATGTTTGCTGAAGACAAGGTACATCTGAAGGACTGAATATATCCAATGTGAAGGTGACCTGCAATACAGCGTTCCTGCCAATCAGAATTACTGTCACCCGTCATGGTACAAGGGGTGCTAGAATAACAGATGAATTTTACCCATGACTTTTGGTTTACTCAATGCTCCCAAAGTTTGATATCGAACATTATTACAGAAGATAGTAATACTATAAAAACACTTCAAAAATTTCAACTGTAACCCTACAGCTTTTCGTCTGCATTTCTCCACGAGAACTCTTCTCGTGTTAGTACATTCTCATTGAATTAGCCTAGGATTCCAAACCTTACTGGGAGATGACTAGAATGACAATAAATCACGTTATTACTACCCGAAACTATGAGATGGAAATGAATATAAAAATCTGTACAACTAACATCATCACAAAATATATCTATTTTGAAGGTGATTTCCTTTATTTTGAAAGGAACATTTTCGTGTTCATCACTACTGTATGCAGATCGAATTCATTGAGAACATGTCGGACAACAACTTCTATCCAGGAAGTGATAAGTGATTCATTCCTAACGAACATTACCTATCAGTTAATATGAAAACTATACATTTCCTCTTTGGTAACGAAAGTTCACATATACAAGGTGTCCCTAAAAGGTCCCCACAAAAACATACAACATATTCCTCGGACTAAACCGTACGAGCAAACTCATCTTGATACGAAGTTGCTTAGTTTGTGTGCTAGACGACTCTCAAGTTACAATCTCCAAATGGTTTTTTCTCCATAAGTTTGGAACAGCTCATGGAATATTACCCCAATTTGGTACGTTCACGGAGTTTTATTGAACAATGAAACACATATCATAATTGTAGTGTTCACTCGTTATATATTTATTGATAGGAATGGTTGGCGTCTAGCAGATGCCATGAGGTGACAGTTGTAAAATGATAGATTGATTTGAAGTATGAATAGAAACATCACAATCTACTAATTAACTTAATATCAAACACTCAACATCAGCTGAACACCAGTACATTTTAGACTTTGCTGGTCCCTACCCTACGGGAGAATATCTACTTTTATTGGTTGATGAACACAGCCGGTTTCCGATCGTAGAAATTATTCCAAGTTTGAATGCGAAAACAGTAACAAGAAAACTAAGGTACATTTTTGCACAATTTGGTATCCCAGATAAACTGGAAAGCGATAATGGCGCACCATTCAATAGTCATGAGTTTGAAGAATTCGCTAACGAGATGAACTTCAATCATCACAGAGTTACTCCGGTTTGGCCTGAAGCAAACGGCCTCGCAGAACGCAGTGTTAAAACCTTCAAGAAGATTGTTTTGACCTCTAAGTTGGAGAAGAAAAATTTGAGGGAGGAACTTGACAATTTCTTACTGAATTATCGATCTACGAAGCACTCAACAACCGAAATGGCGCCCTTCGAAGTAATTTTCGGCAGGCCTATCAAAACTATACTACCCATTTTATTCAACGAAGGGGAATTTCAAGATAAGATAAAAGAAGTGAATGAAAGGAATAAACAAAAACGAAAGAATTACGCTGACAAAAGAAGATCAGTTAAAAATCATCTGCTAAACATAGGAGATACGGTTTTGTGCAAGCAGCCTAAATTGAATAAATTCAGTACTCCCTATGACCCCAAACCTTATAAAGTCGTGAGGATATTAGGAAACCAGATAACCGGAGGAAGAGAAGGAAAGCAGATCGTCAGGAACAGCTCATTTTTCAAGAGATTTTATTCTTCTCAGGCTGATGGATCATTTTCGAGAACAGATGAAGATATTCAATTGCCGAGAACTGAAATACAGGATACTCCAATCTCAATGTCTGCAGTGCCGAATCAGGGCGAAGAGATGGAAACGGAACCTGGAAGAATAGAAGAAAACCACACAGAGAAAAGCCTGCCTGAGAATCATTATGAGACTGAGGTTGAAGAACAAGAAGAAATGGGTGACGAAAACAGAATCGTTGAAAATAAGCGACAACGAAAGCGCCCAGACTATCTCAAAGATTTTGTTACAGAATGAATACAGTTTGAGGTGTTTATATTTTTGTGTATCATTGGAATAGTTATATTAGTTACTCCACCATAAATAGTTCATATTCAAAGTGTGGAGGAAATGTAGTGTTCACTCGTTATATATTTATTGATAGGAATGGTTGGCGTCTAGGAGATGCCATGAGGTGACAGTTGTAAAATGATAGATTGATTTGAAGTATGAATAAAAACATCACAATCTACTGATTAACTTGATATCAAACACTCAACATCAGCTGAACACCAGTACAATGATCATGATAAATATCATTCTATGGGCGTAGAACTCGAATTTCTCAGGGAATGAGAATCTGAAACTTCAAGACCAACGGAAAAAAAGGAGTTTGAATATGAGATTGCGTTAATTGTTCACTACAAAAAAGGTACGACTCATGGTTTTGACAGAATATGGATTTCAGTTATACACAGAATTGGTCAACACCAAAACGATCAACAGATATTCCATCAGAATCGTTCAGACTTTCCATCATTGCCACGATACGAACAAAATATGTATTTCTACGACGACATGAATTGAAATGTTATTTTTTATATACTGAGTAAGCCAGGACTGTCTAGCGCCCAGACTGAGCAACTTTAACATTGAAATTTTGTCGAAACCAAGATGGGATTCAAATTCAATCTAGAGTGTCCTCATCGTAGTAAACAAGTTACGCAATCTGAATTCAATATTCAAACCCCCGTTCCGCCATTGGCGTAGAAGTTTTAGATGTTGATTCACTAACAAAATCAGGTTCTACGCCCATGATCTGATTTTCATCATGATGATGAAATGAGTTGCATAGTCTAATTAAGTTATTCCAACTCATCAAATTTAAGTTACATCTCATGATTACCGTTTCAGATTTATGGAGCAAAACCAATATGAAAATCGTAATCTCAGAGCCGACTAGCGTCCAAACTAACCTACGTAAGTTTATTCGTATTGAACTGTTTCGGTCTAAGAAATATTTCGTAAGTTTTTGTGAAAACCTTCGAGGACACCCTGTTATTCAAAGTGTACACGAAAAAAATATAATCAGGATGAAATAATAACAATTTCACGTATGCAGCTGCTCAATATGTCATTGTCCATTGCGTCGTTTTAGTGACATCACTTTTCTAACTTGATAATAAATCAGCACTCAATTGCGATAACCCCCTAGGCTCTTTCCTACCCCTATTAGAATAACGACCGATAGTATGATTGCTGTACCCTGAATCTGAACCCAGCGCTGAGTCTTGCGAGTTAGGCTCAGGAACCATTCTGAAAGTCACGGAGTTCTCAAGCACCGGAACCGCTTCATAATGTTCAGTAGTTTCGGACATGCATTGAATTCTATGTGTTATGCTAGGAATAGTTCTTATGGTAGATGCAGGCTGCTCCACGCTGCCTACTCTAGGATAAAGTCGAAGAAGCGCATCCAAGAGCATTTCTTCGTGGAACTCTTGACCAGAGGGATATCGTCTTCGTATATTCAGGGTCTTATGACGCATGTTATATCCAGGTACTGAAGGCAAAGGTTCATGTGGCCTGTGACACCTGGAAATATCTTGCCTGATGCGGAGTTGATCTAATCTGTATGTTGAAGGCTGAAGATCCATTCGCCTCCTCTCCATTTCTTCCGCTAGGCTGAGCTCGTCTTCTGCAAATTCATCCTCACTAAGGAGAGCAGGTGTTAATTCACTTTCTGCATCACTCAGTTCTTCGTATATTGAATTGTATATATCTTGAGAGCAGTAGGGGTCTGGTCCAGGAGACGAGCACAGAAATACTGGAGGGTTATGTGATATTCGATAGCCACTAGGAGAGTGAATGTCGTTTCTCACATCTATCATCTGAAAAATAAATGAATTATTGATATGTGGAATAATTTTCAGAAGGACTCGAATAAAATATGAATACATGGAATACAGTTTCGATATACCCTTACATGATGAACCAACATATATTCGTAGTAGATAGAAAGATTCATTCTGAATACAATAATGTTCAAAAAGTTGACTTTCGCACAGGATGAGTTGGAAAATATGTATGCTCCGTCGTCATCAAATGGATAATTCATTCAAATTTCTCTAGTTCGTAGTTTCGTAAAATAGTGATTTGTTCCCAAAAAATCTGCCTCCTGAGAGTAGATTGCTTCTTTGGAGAACGGACTCAACTCTCAATGACTCAATAGGAAATTTCATGAAAAGATCAATTTCTGGTCGACGAATCATACATGTTCTTCAACTAACTTTTTGCGGAACTCAACTTGTAATACATCATTGCATTTTGAAAAAAATAATCTAGATCAGGACAAAAATAAAAAATCAACAATGCCGTTCAGAACAAAATTGACAATCGCTTTCTTGAGAGTGAGAATTGAATAAAGAAATTGTTAGTATCAATTTTACGTATTTATCTGATGAATCATTTCATTTGCTTTTCATTTTTGTTTCACAAAACCGCATAAATGATAGCGGCGCTATGGCTTGAAGCGGCTTATTTTGTCAGTCAGTCTGTGAAGGCAACCATTTTGAATTTCATCACATTGAAATCTATCTTTTGTGGGTCGTTATCTGAAAAATACAGAAATGTTATATGAATATTCCCATCATATACCAAGAATACTTGTGCAAGTACCATCTCAGGAGTTTCATATTACTGATGACTTGAAGGTTGAGTAGTAACCGATGACACATGTGTCTGATGACTCGACATCCTCAGAACTAAGAAGCTACATCGTTGTACTGTGAAGAATCAGTTCTACTCAAACCAAACTCTCGCCAACATCAAATTTCCATCGTTTTTATGTCATTTGAATTGTGGCTCATTCATATGAATTGTTTCCAGAAGTCTCTGGTGCTTTAAGTGATTCAACAAATTGGCGCAGTCGGTAGAAACCCTTTACATCCACAGAACAGAGACAGCCTGACCGAGCGTGTTAGATCCTGATTCTCCGAAGGAGGGAACCTACAACCAACAATATTTGCGACCCACTTGAAAAATCAATCACAAGGAGCAGTCATCTTGGAAGGACAGTATCTTCAACAGTCGAAGAACACGCGCAGGCTGAGTTCTCTGGAGTAACGCTCGTGAAGTCGGATTTCATCTTCCGGATGAAAACAATCTAGTAGTAAGAACTCGAAAGAATCGTTCTGCTATTTTTAAAATTCCTAATTCATTTCATATTCAACCAATTCTATTGTCGATTCGATATTTCCCAATCAATAATGCCTGACTCACCTCTACCAACACCTACCCATCAAGATGAGGTCGAACCGTTGAACGAAATTCTCTGTATAGTACCGGAATATGACGGTGATTAAATATTTCTTACAGCCTTTCTAGATGCGTGTATTACTGCCCACCGCATGGCAGTTCGTGACCAAAAGATACTCACAGAACAATCGAACAAAGAGGAAGTCCAACTAGTAAGAAACCTTTCCTGAGACTTTCAGGACATATCTTATCTAGAATCCTATAGATACCCACAAATCCACAAAGAAGAAGTGGACAATTGAATGTCAATAATGCTTGAGCAAGGCATTATACTTTTTCGATTTCACCCTGGTCATCCATTGTTTGGGTAGTACCGGAAAAACTCGACGCCTCTGAAGAGCAGAAGTGGCGTGTTGTTGTGGATGTTGTGAATAGATGAAATTGAAGACTAGAGCTTGGCCGGATTTGCAGTACAAACCACTCGTGGAGATTCTCATTTCTATTTCTTCAAATACGCTGTACAATTCAGACGTAAACACTTCAAGCAGTGAATCACGTAGTATTCAAATTCCTTGAAATATTCTATGTGAGCTAAATGTACAAATATCTAACTATTATCATAACTCACGGTTGCCTCTCTAGTTGAAATTTATCTCCAAAATTATATTTCAAGTTGACAAATTTAATAATTTTCTGACATTCAGATATCTTTCAGAAATGTGTTAATACCGTATGTTGAAATCTTGTTAGAGACAACTTCGAGTAGAACAATAAGAACTAACTATGAATCAACGTTGAACAATATATAATTTGATGATTATTCTTTACACTTCCGCCCGGTACAGCTCTTCAGGACAGAAAGGCTGTACCATTTTCTGACTGTTCTTCTTTAATGGGCAAAACAGCAATTTTCGCAACGGGTCTATTAAAAATTCCATTTATGGTTTGAACTTCAACCCTTCGTACTTGACCATCTGGAGCTTTCTTTACTTCAATAACTCTGCCCTTAGGCCAATTACAGCGGGGAAGGTCTTTGTCACAAATAATCACGATGTCTCCTACTTTCACGGAATGTACTTGTTTGTACCATTTGCTTCGTAACAATAGATTTGGAATATATTCAGATACAAATCTCCGCCAGAATTTATTCGCAAATTGTTCTTTGTAGAGGTAGTTGAATTTTGAAACTTTCGCATCATCATTCAACTGCCCTAAGGGTTTATTGCCATTCGAATTTCCTACCAAAAAATTATTTGGCGTTAATGCCTCTGCTTCATCGGTGTCCAAGGGTTTGTATGTGAGTGGTCTCGAATTTACAATATTTTCTGCTGCAATAAGACAGCTCTGCAACAAGAAATCAGAAGGTGTTCTAGAAGGTAAGGCGTCATGAAGTGAAATTTTCACCGCCTTCACAAGTCTCTCTCAAGCTCCACCCATAAAAGAAGATGAAGGTGAGTTGATGTGAAACGATATTTATAGAGCGATGAATGATTTGGCAATTAAGTAAGGATCTACTCTCTTAAGTTCTTCGAGTAAAACACGTTCTGTGGCAATGAAGTTGGTTCCTCTTCCACAAAATACATCACGTGGCTGACCTCTTCTAGTCATAAAATTTGAAAAGCAAAGGATACAATTGTCAACATCTAGTTTATTGGCTACTTCCAGATGCACAGCCCTAGTCGTGAGGCAAGTGAAAAGGGCTCCCCATCTCTTGTCCACTCTTCTTCCAACTTTGACATTCATTGGCTCAAAATAATCAACGCCAGTGTAGGTGAATGGAGCTGTGTAGGTAGCAAGTCGACATTCTGGTAGTGGTGACATTCCTGGTACGACAGGATTGGCAAATTTTCTTTTACATGTCTGGCAATTTTTTCACACCTTGTATACAACTCGTCGTAAGTGAGGATAATAATATTTTTGTCTGATCTCGTTGACTACAGTTTCGTGATTTCGATGAAGGAACATTTTGTGATAATTTTCCACGACGAGTGATGTAAGATGGCATTCACGTGGTGAAATTATTGGTCTCCTTGTGTCATGGTTGATAGAATTCCCTGCATCAATTCTTCCTCGAATGCGAATGGGTCCATCTTCATCTAAATATGATGATAATTAATATAAACTGCTAGATCGATTCACAGCAGGTTGTAGGATCGACTCTTTCTCCGTTGATGCCAGCTGCTTCATCTCTCCTCTGTAGAATTCCGCCTGGGCCATTCGAATCAAAGTATTCCTTGACTTCAACAATTCGTCTGATGTGAAGATACCTCTAGGTTCTATTTCCTGCTGTACCTTCGCACGTAATATATCAATGAATCTATGAATGTTTTCCATCGTGTATAGAAGTTTGGAAAATTCAGAAAACTTTTTCATATCTAATACAGATTCAAGTATTTCGTGTTTGCCTTATATTTCTTCATTCAACTTATGTGGAATCGAGTCCATTGACCAACAGTCTTCAGGTTCATACAAGAAATCTGGACCTCTAAACCACCTATCTGAGTATTTTAAAGAATGCTGATTATTCCATTTGGTTGCTTCATCTGCAATATTCAATTTGGTTGGTACGTATCGCCAATTGGAAATCATCGTTTTTTTCTGTATCTCTGCAACTCTGCAGGCAACGTATCTATTCAGACTCCTTGGCTCATCGGTTCGAAACCAACTCAGAACTATCATCGAATCAGATCAATGAAAAGTTTCCTGTATTTCTATTGAGAGATGCTCACGGAAGCTTTTTGCAAATTTGCCACCTATTACTGCTCCGTTGAGCTCAAGTCGAGGTATTGTCTGTAGTTTGATTGGTGCCACATGAGTTTTTGCTCCTAACTGAACACATTCCAAGTATTCATCTTTTTGAATCCTCAGATATGCTACCACAGCACTAGCATGTTCACTAGCATCTACGAATATATGCATTCGCGTGGTCAGTCCATCCTAATTTTGTAAATTTTTCAAATAGCATCGTGGAATCGAAACTTCTCCTTTTTGTGGAAGTTGTTTCAGCCAAATGAGCCATTTGTCGAACTGGTCATCTGTGATAGGTTGATCCCAACTAATATTGCTTCTCCATATTTCTTGAAGTAGTATCTTCAAATAAATCCGGAAGTTGGAGAGAAGTCCTTATGGATCATAGACGGACATTAGTATTCGTGAAACTTCGGTTTTTGTAGGTTTTTTATCTCCATTGAGAACTTCTTCATTTCTTCTATTGATACGTGAAAAATATACGGAACAATCTGTCTTTAAGTCCCACCACATGTTCAGAACTTTTTCGGTCTTTATGTCAGTTCCAATATTCATGTTGATTTCTACGGGATTTGGTGTGGATGAGTTCATGGTTTCCGATACTTTTTTGGAGTTGGAGCGCCAGTGCCTCATTTCAAAATTAGCCTCTGAATGTATAAAAAAGAATTGTTCTGCAATGGTAACTGCTTCTTCCTCTGTATTCGCTGAATCATCTACATAGTGATTTTCAACAATGCATTCTACAGCTCTTGGATATTCTGTTGAATATTTGTTGGCATTAGTATTCTTGATAAACTGTGCACAACTTGGTGAACAAAAGGCTCCAGAGGTCATTACAGTCATAACGTATGTTTCCAGAGGATTTTGAGGGTTGCCATCCCGCCATAAGAAGCGTTGTGCCTGTTGATCTCCATCTATTATGTCAACTCGAAGGAATATTGCTTCAATATCGGCAGAAAATCCAATTTTTCTCTCACGAAAGCGTAGAAGAACACCCAGTAGAGATGCTAGTAGTTGATCATCTCCTTTGAGTAGCATGGAATTCAGGCATATTCCTTGAACTGGGGCAGCTGCATCCCAGACCATCCTAAATTAGACAGGTTTATTTGGATTGGACACTGGAAAAATAGGAAGATACTTCATCTTGGGAGAGTTTCTTTATATATCTTTTCTTGATGGAATCTTCAATCTGCTCGTTCATTTTATTTCTCAGATCGGGATTATGCCTTATTCGTTTTTCGATGCATTCCAATCTTCGTATAGCCATGCCTTTGCTATCAGGTTATCTGATATTGTCATATTTCCATAATAAACCAATATCATATCTATTTCCATTCTGAGTGAGCGTAGATTCTTGGATATTTCTAGCTCTTCGTAACTTTTTGGAGATAATATTGTATGAAGACTGTACTCCCTAACTCTCAACTGAAAAATACTCCTTCACTGCTTCATACAGTACTTCAATAGTGATTTTCACATCAGAACACTCACAGATATGATAGTTATACGTTGTTGCGGTATTTTTTGAGTCTTTTTGTGATAATGCGAAGACAGTCCATCCTAGCCTACAATTCGCAGCTATAGGCTGTCCTTCTTCGCCTTATTTCACTAGAAGCGGTAAGGCAAGTTCCCAGTCATACAAGCCAATAAGTATTTGTGGTGTTGCATTCTCATATGATCCGAATGGATATAAGAATAGGTTTCCTTTCACCTCTTATTCGAAGTTTTTACCTGCATTCCAGAAGATGTCAGTGCGAGTAGATGAGGTCCTACATATATCGGCAACTAAGCATATAAAATACTTGGGTATAATGATAACTGTAACCTAAAATGGAATGAGCATATTATGTATGTAACGAAAAAACTTAGAAGTATCCTATACAGACTCAAATATATTTCTGAATTACTTACTACCTATCAGATAAAAACCCTGTTCTATGCTCTTGTGGAAAGCCATTTGAGCTATGGGATAATTGTCTGGGGCGCAGCGAATAAATTCTATTTGAAAAATCTTGAGAAAACCCAGAAACTTTTTATGAAAACAATTGAGCACAAACCACGTACTTATCCATCAGATCAACTCTATGAGGAATCCAGATTGCTTGACATAAGGCAAATATACTTCTCAGCAGCTATTTGTAGACAGCATAAATATAATGTAATATAATGTGCTCCAAAGAAGTTTTTCTTATCTCGGACCAAAACTTTATAACAGCGTTCCGCCAGAACTGAAAGAATTCAGGATGATCGGAAATTTGAGAAAAAATGCAAGAAAATGGATATTCCAAATCCCTAGGCTATCAGTACATCAGTTGATAGACGTCAAAAATACTTACCAGTATTGATTGTAATTCCCCCTCATAACCATACTATTTCAACCTCAATGAAAATAATGAAAACCTCATGTACTCTGAAACCACTGCAACCTTCGATTATAAAGTATAATTTTTAAATTATGCTCATTTGTAGTCTTATGTAGCTTTGTTGATTCTTCTTATTGTTTTATAATATATTATTCATTTATTGTAGTAGATATAATTATGTGCCTCTAGTCTAAACATGTAGTCAATACACACGCCATAAATTATAATTTGTAATTAGTGTTTCGCATACTATATTTTTTTATATATTTTTTATTTAAACAAATGCAGTACAATACTTGTACTACCCACAGACAAGGCTCTGCCTTGAGTGGGCTCTGTGCATTTATTCACGAAACAGTTGAAATGTAAATTTGTAATTGTGATTGTATCAAGAAATGATATGTTTCTTCATAATATTCAGTAATTTAGTAAATTTAGTCATATAAGTTCATTTTATTGTACCTACCTCATTATTATTATTATTGTACCTTATTTTTCATAAGTGAATTTCCATAAGTGAATAAATCTATCCTATTCTATTCCCTGCTATTGAGTGATTGTTGTGGAAGGATCAAAGTAGCTACTGTACGTGCTGGACGAAAATCGAATTGTTTTGATCCTTGGAAGTCACCTGCTATGGAAAAACAAACCTTTTCGGAATTATTCTCCAATCGTTCTTGATCCCCTGTCCATCTACGACATAGTTGCTCTTGGTTCCCATGTAAATGTAACTCTTTGGCAATATTTTCATTCAACAGGGTAACTGAAGATCCTTTATCCAGGAATGCAAACGTTTTGATTGTTTTATTGCCATTCTTCTAATCACAGGTAATATTCTGAAACGGATACATTGGGAAGATATTTGAGCCATGTTAATTTCAGAGGACACTGAGACTTGGTGAAGTTCTTGATTAGTTGAAACTTGAGTTTCTGGGGTCCTATCTACATTATTATGAAGAAAAGGAAGATGCTTGCTCTGGCATTGATTCTGGTTACACTTGACTGGATACTTGCATGGGAATCTATGTCTCTTCAAGAATAGCCTATATAATTACAATGACTTCAATACTTTTCAATTTTCAGATACAGGGTAATTTTGAGATTGTTGACGAACTGCAACCTGGCTACACTTACCTCTGCATATTTTTCAAGTTGATTCTATGTCATCTGATCTATTGTTATCAGTATTATGAACATTTGTACGTTTATTTTGATTGAACTGTTTCTTTCGATCAGGTATGACAAAGGTAAGTAAGATAGTGCATAAGTTTGAAGCAGTAATATACATCCAATCAGCAAAACTTGCAAGACCATTGAAGTTTTGTAAAAAACTTAGGTGCAAGGCCAAATTAACCTTGATCTGTGATGGAAGTTTCTCAATAAGTTCATGCATGATTATTGGATTGTTCAAATGATCATTCAATTTAGCTGCTTCTAGAGTGACGCATAAGTTTTCAACAGTTAGAGAATATTCAACTAGTGTTTTCAGTTTTTTCTACCCTGGGTGATGGTTGACGGCGAATTATATTTATATGTGCTTCTATGATTTGCTCTGGTCTACCGTATAGAATCTTCAACGTAGATATTATCTGAGGCACGCATTCATGTTGTATTAGAAAACTGGAGACAGCAGTCCTAGCAGATCCTCTAATGCATTTTTGTAGTCTCAATGAATTTTCATTATTATCGAAACCACACAACATAGAAGATCTGTCATAACAACTAATGGAAAGAGGCCAGTCAGACGGATTACCAGTGAAGACAGGGAGATCATTTGGTGTAGTTTTCAAAGCTGCATATTGTTGCGGTGTCAAAGCAATGTCATTCACTGTGTCATTTGACACTACATAGTTTTTGATCACTACATAGTTTTGATCAGGAGCAAATGGCTGTGGATTAGTTGGTTGAAATCTAGAAGAACTTTGAGCTCCATTAGGTATATTTATAACAGTAGTATGTTGAGGATTAGACAAACGAGTATATTGCTCATTATCCCTATTTACTGAGCATTCATCAATCTGCAATGATAGCATTTGATTGACTAAAGGGTCAGATTTTCGTATTTCTTCGTCACTGATATCTTGACTATCATCTGACTCTTTATCTAGTAGTTGTATTGCTTCCTTAGCTAATTCTCTCTCTTTTCGCAATGATTCTCTTTCTTCTTCAATCAGCTGCATTCCCATCTCAGTACTGCTGTTGAATACTGAAGATCTTTTCTTGCTTCTTGGAAGACAACTACTCTTCTTGCTGCATGTAGGTTTATGGGACTGTGCTGGTTGTGTTACTCTGGTCGCTGCTTCACATGATGGACACATCCACGATTCGTTGGCGGCTACATCATCGGAGCTATTTACATTCACACACTCGTAACAGCACATTTTCTTACATCCTGTACATCCCAACCATCCTCTCGTCTCTATATGGTTCGTTATACCAGACAGCGGTCGCATTTGGTTCCTCTAACTGATGCTGAAGCCATTTTGTCGAGACCCAGTAGATAAGGTAATGCAACGCACCGAATTTGAGCTTGTTGTAAATAGATGGAATTGAAAACTAGAGCTTGGCTGGATTTGCAGTACAAACCACTCGTAGAGATTCTTATTTTCATTTCTTCAAATACGCTGTACAATTCAGACGCATATACTTCAAGCACTAAATCAAGCAGTAGGTACTCAAATTCCTAGAAATATTCTATGTGAGCTGAATGAACAAATATCTAAGTATTATCATAACTTACGGTTGCCTCTCTAGTTGAAATCTATTTCCAAAATTATATTTTGAGTGGACAGATTTAATAATTTCCTGACATTCAGATATCTTCCAGAAATGTGATAATCGTATGTCAAAATCTTGTTAGAGACAACTTTAAGTAAAACAATAATTAACTATAAATTGGCGTTGAAAAATATATAATTTGATAATTATTCATCACAGTGGATAACAGGTGATGAACTCACTGCATATGGCAAGTATCCCCTGCCAATGATTCCTGATCTCCCCGACCAACTTGACAAATGCCAATATTTCACTAGCGTCTGCGGACAACCGCAAGTGATAACTCCGTGGTAGGGGAACGTTAGTTAACTTGTGTCGAGTCTAATATAAGGAAGGAATTTTTTTTTAACAATCAATCGACCTAGATGAACCTTTTTTCTTGAAGAAGGGGAATTCTTCTTGAGGAAGGAAAATATTGTTTCTGCATAAAAAATGAGAAAACCTAACCTATCTATTTTATGAGTATATCTGTACTTGTTTCGTTGACCTGTGTAAAACTTAATGTTTATTAACACCAAATAGAATATTCTAGAAGGAGAATTTTTCTTGAGGAAGGAAAATATTGTTCCTGCATAAAAAATGAGAAAACCTAACCTATCTATTTTATGAGTATATGTGTACTTGTTTCGTTGACCTGTGTAAAATTTAATGTTTATTAACACCAAATAAAATATTCTATTCTATTCTAACCTAACCTAACCGAACCTCACCTCTGGCCTAAACATAGAAAACTCCTAAATGAACCTATTTCCCATAGAAAATATTTTTTAGAAATCACTTGGAACAAGAAAAAAATAAAAAAAAGATGAGCCTCGCACGGATTCGAACCCCGGCCCGCCGGCTTGGCATGCCGATGCTCTGCTTACTGAGCCTACCAGTTGCTTACGAGACGAAGTATGATGAAGTCATCCAGTCGGCGCCGCATAACGCCAGTCACATCTACTGCCCACTATAACGTTCTCCCACCACGGAGTTATTACTTGCGGCCGTCCCGCAGACGCTAATCAATATTTCACGAACCTCGACCTTGCCTACAAATCGAGATCGATCCGGAGTATATATCCAAAACCGCCTCAACGGTGGAGGAAGAATACTACGAGTTTGTCCGAATACCTTTTTGACTCAAGAATGTTCCTTCTGCCTTCCAGAGGGTAATGGACAATTTGCTCCTGGGCATTCAAAACGAAGAATGTTTCGTCTATATAGACGACATTACTGTTCACTCCCCTACGATACATGATCATATTTACCGACTCACCGATGTATTCAAACGATTCAAAAAAGCAAATTTAAAGATACAACCAGATACATGCGTGTTCCATAGAATATTGTCACGAAGGGCACTTTTTCGGGTGAAAAACAAATTGAATAAAACATCAAGATTTTTCATATTTCAAATTCATATTCAATATTCTTATTATAAAATCATTTTCATAAACAAAACATTGCTACCTTCAAGTCTATAGAGAATATGGGTCAGCACCAGTAAACAATAAATATTCAATAAGTATGTCATTGCCAAAACTAGAAACGAGAACATAGTTGGATGATAATGGAATGCGAAACTGCTCATTCAGGAAGAGATAGACTTTGAGCTGGCATGAGAATTGATAGGTAGATCTTCGGAGATAGGCACAGTTGTTAGTCCGCGAGGCGAGGGTGAGGATAGCTGCTGTGCTTTTTTTGTCTTGCGGGTTATTTTTGACCATTAGAGCTTTGGCGTTGCCTCCTCGAGAGAACTGCCGATCATGTTGGATATTTTATTAAGGTAAGAGAATTTTGTGTTGTACTGGGCGTTGTATATATTTTTGTTGCCGATTTGTTTCTCCAGGAAAATCTAATAAAATTCCCTGATTTATAAAAACCTGTGGTTGATTCACTGAATAGTGGTTATCCTGAGTAGATAAGATAAAAGCCTCCTAAGATCAGCTCATCAGGCGGAAAGGGTTCAGCTGTTCCTTACTGAGTACGTCACAAGCGACGGGGGTTGATCCTCTATTAGCTCCGTACGCGACAATATAGGTAGCATATATTGGTCACTTGATCACCAGTGACGGAGTGGAACGAACTCCATCTAGACTGTATCGTGAAAACAGAAGTCAAATCATTTCTAGGATATTATCGCCGCTTCATATCGAAATTTGCCAGAATTTCAGAGTCTGTCACTAAACTGCTTCAGAAGGACATCTCCTAACTTTGATTCCAATTGCAAGAATTCTCTCGACAATTCGAAACAGACACTAATTTCGACCCCTATTCTGAGTTACCCAAACTTCGAAGATATTTTTTTCTCACCACTGACGCAAGCGCATACGCTATTGGTGCTGTCCTTTCTCTGGGCCCCATTGGTAAAAATATCCCTATTGCATATGTCTCTTGAAGCTTTTGTGCAGCAGAATGTTAGTATTTCACAATGAAGCGTGAATTGATCGCAATCGTATGGGCAGTGAAACATTTCCAACCATACCTCTTCGGTCGCAAATTCAAATTGATAACCAATCATCGCCCCCTCACTTGGCTCTTCTCGATCAAAGATCTTGGCAGTCGTGTAGCTAGATGGCGCTTTGAACTTGGGGAATACCATTGAAAAGTCATACACAAGCCAAGAAAAATCAACAAGAATGCCGATGCTCCCTCTCGCATAAAAGTGAACCACATTTAGGAACGTGTTGCTTTTCTTACGAAAATCCTAGTACTGCCTTCGAACGAAGCAGGCTCCGACCTTGAAATCATTGAGAACCAACCCTATCGAGAATACACCTCCTACCGAAGAACTGACAATCTCAGGAACCCCTGAAGCATCATTCGACGACCTTGAAACTACTCCATCAGAAAACGGAACCTCCGAAATGTCAATAGAAAGAATACAAGACAAATTCAACAGATTTGTACAGAACGACATCTCTGATAGACTATTCTGAAGTTCAATATTTTCAATGCTTCATACTAGACAAATCTTACAGACAAATAATCATTTTTATACAATGAGATGAACTCTCTCAATCTCATTATGACATCATGGAAGATGTTTACGAAGAACACTTTCACTTTCGAAATAAAAAAATCAATATACCACCTCGTAAATCATTTAAAAACCGAAAATATCACTTGATTCGTTCGACATACGACTCTGAATCAGTGATTGAACAACTCTTTTCGACTTTAAATTCGGAATGAGTTGGACCCGTTGAATTTCTTTTGTATCGGAGACAACCCCGAGTGGCCGATGCAAGAAATACTCTGTTTTATATTCGCGGAGGAGGAGGACATAAAAATAAAGTATGTCAAAACGTGGTCAGCACACCAGGTCTAAATTAGCCCAGATATGTCAAAAATGGATCTGTTTCCATTTTGCATGTTTCAAACCATATATTTGTCATAAAATAATGAAAAACGAGCAGTTTCATTTTTGTTATGGAATATTTCATCGAAAAAACATGTTTTTGAAGATGTGCTATATATAGGACAATGGGCATATACTATACTATGAATATCATCCTAGTCATCGAGTGTTATATGACACGAAACATTCAACATGTAGACCGGTGTCACATTTTTGACATCTTGTAATGGTTTTCTGATGACAAGCTCCACATCTTGTTCGTTTGTCTTGGGTAATAACCCAATGGTCCAATCGATCATAACGTAATTCGGTATTGCATTGAGAAAGGCGCCTTTTTTGGTAAACCGACACTTTTTCATTCTGGACAAGTAGATGCCACGTTCAGATTGAAATCTGTGGCGATTCGGGGTGACTCATGCCAAATTTGTCATAAGTTATACCTATATGTTTAGAGGTTGGCTAGCTCAGTGTAGATTGGGAGTGGAATGCTCACCCTGTATAGTAAACCTTGGTATGACAAACTCGCATGAAATGATACTAGCTGGTGTATTATATGACAAATATATTATGAAAATATAAAATAATAGTAAACATATAATATATAAGTAATTGATAGTACAAGGCACCTAGTAAGATGAATCTTTAATAATAACTTGTGTACTAAACTGCAAAGATTGATTCCTTATCCTTATTATCACAAAATGTTAGTCCATCAAGAGACCCTACTATATAAAAAATAAATAACTGATATTAACTAACCGTTTCAACTGATGAAATATTATCACAAGATTAATATCTCATTTTATTATCTTATTTCAACAACTATCTAGTAACTAACCAGTAAATTACCAGGATATTATCACAAAATCTTAGTTCATCAGTACTAATGCAACTGGCATAAGACACTATTATCACAAAATTTTAGTTCACCAAAGTAATGGTCCTGCCTACTACTTGATACTCAACGAACTAAATAATCAACACAGCATTATCTTGTGTGGAATACTTGACATTTGGAAATATCAACCAGTGCATATACCAATATACCACCTATAAATGTGCAGATTATAGTGAGTGCATGAATGTATAAAGATCAATGGCAAAAATAAACAATAAGGACTTTAAAAACAAACAAGGTATATATGTATAAGTTTACCTGTCCTACCACCTGACAATCGTTATTTTACTAGTCATATGGGGCCCCTCAGTAGCGCTACTGGAAGTTCACAGGTTTATCATCCAAGGTGTAGGTACAAGGAGATAGTGGAGGCAGAGGTATAAACCAATACAAATACCAA